GTATTCATGATATAAATCATGAAAGAAATAACTGTTTCAAAATGCAAAAACATAATCATTATTCTCTTAGAGACATATCATTGAACTTGAGAAAAAAAATTGTTCGCAACTCTTGCATCCTTTACTTTTCAAAAACAATTTAATATTCCATTGTTTTTAGGCAATGTTACGGAATTAATACTTGATAAAGTCCCATTATTTTTTAAATGAAGCTTAATATGACCAATTGTTTGTTTCTGATGTCTAGTATAAACAAAAATGCATGATTTATGAAGTCTCATATATCCAAAAATCAGTTATTAATAAAATTTTGGTAAAAATATTGTAACGAAGTTAAGATTATGAAAGTTAAGGTTACGGAACTCAATTCTCCAACTTTTATAATAAAAGTTAAAATTCTCTGCAATAGTTAAAATCAAAGCTTGTTTTTTTTTTTATTAATTTCGCTCCCCAAAGAATGATAAAGAATATATCTGTCATGCAAAATTCTTCCTGAATTACCATTTCGGAAGTAGTTAATTTTTCCTAATTCAATTTGTTATATCTAAAAAAGGCATTGTCTTGAAAATAAATAGCTGACTCACAACTAGAGTTAATGATATGTTTTTTTGGGTCAATTTCAGTTCTTTTTAAAATCTGCGAATAATCTGTCCGTGAAATATAGAACAAACTCATTACTGAAGTTAATTGATTCATAGCGATATGCTATGATTTCTTTTGAAAGAAGATACGTGCATTTCTTTTTCGAGAAGTTGTTTGATTTCATTTTATTCAAGATAAAGAAAAAACTTATTTAACATTCATTGCAATCTGTTAGGAACGCTTTTACGGCTGAGAATCAAGTCTTGAAATTTGTAAATAGATGAAGCGACATTAAGATTTGGAGTGGAATACGTTTTCAACATTAGGCCTACATGATGTTCATAGCTAACTTTAACTACATATATATCTGTAAATATTTAAAAAAAAACAACAAAACAAAAAATGCTTGTGTGTTATATCTTAAAGCTGAAATCGATCTTAAAATTTATAGTTAAGATATTATAACGGCAAATTTGTAAGTGACATGAAAAAAATATAATTGTCCATGCTTGTTTTTGTCCGTGCTATATGTTTCTCCCTGTGTATATAACAAGCATGGTAACAGAGAGGGGAATAATTCAAACGAAATTAAGTTTTCCGATTTTTAAAAATTAAATATCACAGTGTATATAGTACGTAATCTTATTTTCATGTTCCTTTACATTCATTTTATTTTAGATAAAGATAAGGGTAAGAAAAGTAATCATGCCAGTTTGTGCGTTAGCAAATATATATATTTCATCGAATTTTTAACACCTAATATGTTTCTTCGTTGTGACAGCTTTTCCTTTCAAAGTACATTTAAAATACTAAACTATGGACTTGAAAAAAGTTTTATAAGCTTGTATATTTAAAAAAAAACTTTTAATGGCAAATCCGAACAGTAAGAAAATGGTAACGACAATACCTAATTACTTGATTGATTATTCCTGCTGCCTGAATGACACAACATTCGGGTTTCTGAAACAGTAGGTGCGCAAATTCGGGGCGTTGGACCAAGAACTATTACTATTTTAATATTCTAAAGCTAAGGAAAATTCCCTTTATTACATGTTTATAGCTCAAAACTTCTCGTATACTAACTCTTCTTTATAAATAAATCCTTCAAAAAATAAATCTGCTCTATATTTTAAAAGAATCGATTTATTTTACACCGAGCTTATGAACGATTTCCTTGTTTACATGTCAAACGTTAGATGATATCATAGTGCAGTTTGTTTGCGTTACTCGAAAAAGTTCCAATATTTAACAGCAAATATTTCTGTAACGGATGCTCGTACCTTTCAATGTCCATAGAGAAAATGTAGGTAAAATTCCCTGCTTTTAGGATATGGCATTCATTCTTTTTTTATCGTGTCCTGTATTTGAGATACAGCCTACAGAAGATAGCACAAAATCACTCATTTATGCTTAATTTTACTACCTTCCCTCAATTACATTCAATGTTCAATTCATGTTTAAGATAATTTTTTAACATCGAAGAGGAAAACTGATAATAGAAAAATTGTTGTGTTTCTTCTCTAGTTTCAGAAAATATCAATTGTTTTGTTGTATCCCAATTATTTACAAAACGCCAACAGTTAAATCACTGTGATGCTGAAAATGCATCAAAAGGCGCACATGGCCGTTAAGGGGTTAATATCTCTGAAACAACATTCTGGTCTAGTATAGCCATCCCCATTTATGACATCTCTCAATCCATGGTAATGCAGTCGTAGGCCAGTGATGTGACATGAAACAGAACGCTGTGTTAACATCTTCATCGTAAGTCATAGGAACATTGCCGGTCATGAGGCATTTCAAATGGTTATCTCTGAATAATGTACTTGTAATGGATACGGTGCTATTTATAACTACTCAGGAGGAAATGATTTCTGTACAAGCAGAAATTTTAACGAGGATTTTATTTTGGCATTATTATCGAGGGTTCTGAGATCGCTAAAATTAAATATCGCTAAAAAATTGTGTTAAATTTGTAATAGCTTATTAAATGAGCATTTTAAAATTAATCGCTAAAATAACGTCTCGCTAAATTACCATATTTTAAGAACAAATCGCTAAATTTACGTCTCGCTAAAATTTCCGAGAATACGGTATGTGATTGACTCATTACGTTTTATTTGGAAAATCCCGGTGGCAGATCTTCACACTTCATCAGAATCAATGTATGTTGAGGAATACGGTACAGATCGATCTGAAAGAGATCACATATCACTTTGTAGTCTGGAGTCCAGAAGATCAAATCTTCGTCAGAAGTCCTAAATCTGAAGCCCTAAAGTTTACTCCCACTCGACATTTTATAAAATTTCCTCATTCTGTTCACAAAACCACATCCATGTCCATCGCTTCTCTTCTGATCATCACTTCTCTAGGACTTTTTACTTCACGACACAGTCCTACATATACTGACTATAAGAGGCGGGGTTTATGATCCATCCCGATATGTGAATTTAAAAATATATCTGAAATACAGCAAAACTCGGTTATAATGAAGTCGCAAGAACCTTTGAAATACTTCGCTATATCCGTAATTTGTTTTACCCCACCTCTGTTGATTTTTCCGTGAAATCCTTGCTTAAGATTGGTTGAAATCTGTCACGTGCAGGCAGCTGGTTATTTTTACTCCACCTCTGTTGATTTTTCCGTGAAATCCTGGCTTAAGATTGGTTCAAGTCTGGCACGTGAAGGCGGTCGATTACTTTTACCCCACCTCTGTTGATTTTTCTTTGAAATCCAGGCTTACGATTGGTTGAAGGCTGTCACGTGAAGGCAGTGGATTACTTATACCCGGTCAGTTGTAAATCCATACCCGGTCGATGTATAACGTCACAAACACAAACGTCATAATAGGCACAGTATAAGCGATAAAGCTGTAGAAGAGAAAACCATTTATAAACTACAGATAAAACGTAAATGTTTCATCGGTGGGGTAAATTTGTTACATAGTCATTTAGTGACAGCGTATGGGATGATACCTGGTTAGTATAAATTTCATACCTGACTCGGCTTCGCCTCGCTAGGTATGAAATATACTAACCATGGTACAGTCCCTGAAACGTTCTACTTTCCCATTTTTCCGTTCGCTCACCGTTCGTTCACCGTTCGTTCAGCGTGCGTTCACCGTTCGCTCTTCGTTCACACTATTGCGTTCACCGTGCGCTCGCGTTCACCGTTCACAAAACGTTCACCGTTCGCTCTTCGTTCCGTTTACTTTGCGTTCACCTTGCGTTCTCCGTTCACTTATCGTTCAGTCTTCATTGTCATTCGGAACTTCGAAGTGAAAGGACTTATCTTTTTTATGGTAAGGGTTTACATGTTTTTTTTAATTAAATAACTTAGATATCGTTTTTAAAGAATAATTATTTCGTTGCAAAAATTATCTATGATATTTATATTTCTATTATTGTAACTCAGCTGTTACTTATTTCATGAATATTCCCTGGAAAATAATCAACACATTAAGTACCTACATGTATGTAGAACGATGCTAAAATATTAAATTCAAAAAAGGGCAATGTACAATGCTTAACGCACGGCATCAATTTGATGTAATTTTAAAGAGGACAAATCTTTAGAGCTAACTATGTTGATGGTGTGGTTATAAATTTTAGAAAAGACCAACTGTTTAAATATTCTATTATAAGAGAAGAAAAATTTCTTCCTTCTCCGTACCTAAAAATGTTTAAAAATATATTATTTTTTTGCTATTCAGTATCACGAACCCAGGTAGCACAAAACGTTTTCATAACATTATATTCGGGTTGTAAGGATGTTATTCCAAAACGTTTTTGACATAACGTTTGAAAAATGTTTTTATAACGTTTTATCTAGGTTATAATGACGATTTTAGAAAACGTTTCTCAAAAACATTTTAAAAATGTTTTTCATAACGTTTGATACTGGTTGGACGGAAGTTTTTTAAAAACATTTTTGCATAACATTTTTACAAATTAAGAATAATTTTTATTACTTAGAAAGCATAGTAAAAACTGTTTTCACATTCCATTGTTTGGGGAAAAATATTCTTAAAAACTACAGTATGTTATTAAGAATATATTGCACAGTATGTGGTGTATTGTGTCACGTTTACTCAAATTTAAAAAAAAAATTCAAATTGAATTAAAATCGTAATTAATTCTAGGTACAAATGTTACCAGAAAACATGAATATAACATTATTTTAAAATGTTTGGAAAACATTGTTAAAACGTTATAGAAACAACAAACATCTATATATAATTCAATTCTCAAAAAAATACATTTACTGATTTAGCATTTACTTTTTTGTTTGTTTGTTATTGATTACTATGGGATGTCTTTTAAAGCATATTGAGGGGGGGGGGATTGGACAAAAAAAATTTTCTTTAAATTCAGTTCTTTTTTAATTGTTTTATGCCTCATTCCTAAAAACATTGTGAAAAAATGTATAAAAAGCCGTTATAATGTATTTTTCTAAGATGTGATGTAGTTCAACAAAGTAAGGCAGTGCATTTTATTCACTTGTGTTGTTTCCTCCCTAATAATGTGTTTATCAAAAGTTAATTGAGTGGCACAGCGGGATGCCGTGGTCAGCGCTCGCTCCTTGCTGCAAACTATTTCCACGTGATCTATATAGGTCAACTTATCAAGATTTTGAAAAACCGGGCAGCATTCTTGAAAGACAAAGAACAGGATTAAGGTAATATTTTACATCATCGTATGGTATGTTGAATTTAAAGTAGTATTCAATATGTATACATATATTAAGAAATTGTATTATAGTAGTAAGTGTATGTATAAGCCTAAATCATTCCTTGTAAATGGTTGAACATTTCACTGATATTTGAACTGGGCGGGTAATTTGTTGTTATTGAAGTAAACTGATCATCTAAGTTTATCATGATTGTGCATTTACATAAATGTTTTATGACTTGTGTCTAGTGTGAGTTTTCTTAATTAATGTGTACTTCATGTGTAGTATAATAACCCCAGGCTAAGAGATAGATTTTAAAATTGAGAGCTTCAAAACATGATTTGAATAGATCGAGTATGTTTGCGAGGGGGAGTGTGTGTAAGTGTATGTGTGTGTGGGGGGGGGGGGGCTTAACAAGTTAAATACTTCTTTGGAAATGTTAAATGATTTGTATTTATACACAGTATCATGTATATATTCACAATTTACAATTCTTGGAAATAAATATCATATTTCATTTACAGCGGCTGTTTGCAAAGACAAAATATACCTTTTTAAAGATCACATGTAGTGAGAGGAATTTGACATAATAAGGTTTGCTTAGGCACACCATGCTGGAGGGATTTACCAGGGTATTTATTCTTTAAGGTATGTTTGAAGTTTCCTGAGAAGAATGTATTACGGAGATTTATTTAGTATACAATATATATATTTTATAGAATTTTTGCCCAAAACACACTGTTGTCAAAAAAAAAAAAAAACAAAGTTTTTTTTTTTTTTTGTAAATAATTTTAGAAAGACTTTCCTTGTATTTATTGGATGTATGACTATATATAGTTTTAATTCTTCTAATGCATGGATATACATGTATTTTACTAAAATGATTTGCGAGAATGATCATTCATTTTGTTAATTCAAGTTGTTCTCTAAATTTCTGTTTTTCAGAAGAATTAAAACAAAGAAGTCCAAGTGATCCAAATGCCAAAAGTGCCAAACATGATTTTCAAAGGAAGAAGGATATTGTGATTTTTTTTAAAAGGAAGAAGGATATTGTGATTTTTTTTAAAAATTTCAATTGTGACAAATCTTCTCTGTTAAGAAGACTTTTATTGACTGTGCGGATGTTTAGAACAGTTCATGGATTACATTTGTGTAAAAAAGTTTAAACTAATTAAAACTGTACAATGATTTTTATGTTGTAAAATATTTTTAAACGATTTAAAACATATAAGAAATGTTCTGAAAACGTTTTTAAAAACGTTTTGAAAACGTTTTCAAAAATGTTTTCAAAACATAGCAGGACAATGTTTTTGAAAAACGTTATGATAACGTTTAAAAAACCATACAAAATAACGTTGTAATAACGTTTTAGAAAATGTTTTTATAACATTTTGAAAACGTTTTTATAGCGTTTTGATAACGTTGTTGTGCTACCTGGGAAGCCCCCCCCCCCCCCCACCCCCGTGCCTTTTCTCCCGAAATAAAATTCTTATTGAGTTTTTTCAGTTTATTTTAATTTTATTTAATTTTTATTGTAGCACAAGAAAATCAGTCTTAAAACCAACATCAAACAGTGATTAAACAAAAGTATTTTAGTATAAACTTGTGCCGGCAGTAGTATTTTAAATTGGCAGGGAATATGTTTCATATTCAGCTTAAAACAATCCTTCCAAGTATATATTCGAATTATTTTTTTTTCTGCAGGAATGCAAAAATCAGATCTAGAAATGACAGGGAAAAATATTAAAATTTCTTGGAATACTAAGTGAATCCTTGCCTTCAGCATGTTCGGTGATACGCTATTTCCACACCTACACTGTCTTGAATTATTTTGATTGACAGCACAAGCACTACAAATATAGCACGGACTTCCTGTGAACTGTGTGAACTTGATGATGGAAAATAAAAGCCAATGCTTACTGTCAAATGGATTTGTTAATCTAAAAAAAAAGATTACCTTTATTGCTTGGAATATTTAGGAAAAATAATTACAATTTTTATTTGATACAACATACATCTGAGAATCGAGGGGGTTATCTCTCTCTCTCTCTTGAAAATTTCTCTGTTCAATAAAAACTATGATAACACATTACTTATTAAGTTTAGAAAATTTAATCTACACAAGTATTACAAATAATTTGAATGCCTCTTTCCAACATCTTGACCGAGTATAATCACGACCGGTAAATGTCTACAGATACATGAGGAAGTTAGCTAAAATAATCGTCATAGAAGAATAAAAAGGCAATTAAATATAGAATATTTTGCAGTAGAATTTAAATAAAACGAGAATTTTTATGCAGTACGATAACAGTCAATGTCAACAGATACATTTTGTAATTGTGAATTAAAAAAAAAAATCTGTTATTGTACTCAGAATCGCTTTGGCACGAAAATACATGTACGGTGGTTTCAACCCCGTACCATATAATTAATTCATTCTATAAGTAGCAGTTTTATCTTCAGAAGTCCACATTATTTTATAAGTGAAAAGAATAAGCATAATTATTTACTATATAAGTAGATTAATTTATTTTTCAAGTACACTTGGTAACAAATACACGTTTGACGGTGATTAAAATCATGTCATTAAAATATCATTTTAAACATATAGGTATGTGTAGAAAAAATGTTTTTATTTATTTATTAATTTATTAATTAATTAATTAATTAATTTATTTATTTATCTATTGTTTATCTCAGTAGTAGTTTTATCTTCTAAAGTCCACATTATTTTATTAGTTAAAAGAATAATCATAATTATTTAGTATATAAGATTAATTTATTTTTTAACTACAAGCGGAAACACATACACGTTTGACGGCGAATAAAATCATGTTATTAAATTAACGATTTAATTATACGTATATGTTTAGTTTTTTTTTTTTTTATTATTTTTTATTTATTTTTTCATCTATTTATTTCTCTTTTGTTCATCTATTGTGTATTTATATTTATTTTTGACATTTGAATAATAGAATAGAAGAATAATTTCAATACAAGGAAAAGACCGAAGGCATTCCGAATAAATCGTTCATCTTGCGTTCATCGTTCGTTCACCGTTCACATTGAGCTCGCGTTCGCGCTCCGTTCGCGTTCTGCGTTCATTCACCGTTCACCGTTCACACATCGTTCACCAAGTTGCGTTCACCGTTCGCACATCGTTCACACACCGTTCGCTCTGCGTTCGTTCAGCGTTCGTTCATGGTTAGTTCACCGTTCGTTCAGCGTTTATTCACCGTTCAGGTGGGAAAGTAGAACGTTTCAGGGACTGTATCATCCCATACTCTGTCACTAAATCACTATGTAACTAATAATACCCGGTCAGTTGTAAATCAATACCCGGGTCAGTTGTGAATCTTTACCCGGTCGATGTATTACGTCACAAACACAAACGTGACGTCATAATAGGCATAGTATGAGCGTGATGAATTTTTTTTCTTTGCTAAAATTTTCATCACAATAAATTATCATATTATATCATATTATGACGTCACGCCTAGGTAAAGGCCTAGGTAAAGTCAATTTTTTAAACATAACTATTGTCATAATTTAGAGTTTCACTAATCTAATTTATTTGTGTTATCTATAAATCATGCATGCTGAGCATTTATTGCTCTGCACTGTTATTCTAGTGGGTAACGGGATATGTCTGTCAGTGTCCTATCTGGTGGTCGCTGTTGTTTCTCATGGGAATATAGGGGTTCATTGTTTATATTCCTGATTAAGGTTTGTCACTATCGGTGCTCTATGATTTTGGCTGGGAACCTTGAGTTTATTGAGTTAGTTCTGCAGTGGAGTTTAATGCAGATGGATGTCAGTTCTGTGTTAAGCAGATGGACTGATGTATTAATGTCTAACAACATAAGTGTTGTGTAATAATGTGTATATATATGTAAATAAACTGTAAATAGAACTTTTGCCTTTTCTTGTGGGAATCATCACGTTACAATTTTGGTGGCAGCTGCGGGATTTTTACAAGAATTATGGCAGATGATTTAGATACACCAACAGTGCTATTAGGTATTCGGCGAAATAGGACTGATACAGGGATAGGGACAATGACATCTACCCCTAATTACAACGAGATACAACGCATTGAAAGAGAATGTGCGGCATTGGATCAAGAAATAAGAAACACGACAGCGGCGTTAAGAAACAACAGTGTTCAGGGAAATAACGTCCAGAACGATAGTCGAAGTAACAGAGACTTTATGAAACCGTTAGTTCGTCCAGCTACTTATGATGGATCCGAGCCGTGGGATGATTATAAAGTTCAGTTTGAACTTGTAGCCGAAATAAATGGATGGGACGACGTAAGGAAATCCATGTTCTTGGCATCATCATTACGTGGCACAGCTCAAGGTGTGCTAGCCGATTTAGAGCCGGGGAAACGACGTTCATTTGTCGAGTTAGCAACAGCGCTAAGTCGCCGTTTCGGATCGGAAAATAGAACTGAACTGTTCCGAGTCCAGCTTAAGAACCTCGTGCGGAAAAGAGACCAATCGCTACCGGAATTAGCACAGTATGTAAAACGCCTTAGCAGGAAAGCTTACCCAAATGCTCCGCGAGATTTACTAGAAACATTGTGTCGGGATCATTTTATAGATGCCCTCACGGATTCCGACATGAGACTTAGGATTCAACAAGCTCATCCAAGGACCATTGATGATGCTACAAAACTTTCCGTTGAGTTAGATGCGTTTAATATGGCAGAAAAACAAAGAGAAAAGCGTGGTTCAACTTCAGTGCGAAATATTACCGCCAGTGAGCTAACATCTGAAAAAATCATTCAGTGCTGATGATATTAAGTCATGTATGGCAGAAATTTCTAAGGAACTAATTGAAATGCGCAAGGAAATAGCCACAATTAAGCAATCAAAAAATACAGGTGCTTCTAAATATAAACCACCAGCAAAAGAAATCCGTCGTTGGAATTGTGGAGGGAATCATATGAGACGAGACTGTACAAAACCTAAGAAGTCGAGTTCTAGCAAGGGAAATTCAAAATTCATTCCGAGATCTTCTCGTATTTCAAAAGACGGATCTGGGATGTATGTGAATGGTTCTATACTTCATGGTGAGTCCGTGAAATTTCTGATAGATACAGGTGCCAATGTCTCTATCATTAACACTAATGTTTATAGAAAAATGGATCCACTTCCCGAATTAAGGTCCGCAGAAATGAATATGAAAATGACTGACGGCAAATGTATTCGTGCAAAAGGAATTGCGACATTGAATGTGACTCTTGCCGGTGTGTCCGTACAGCATGAATTCTGGATTGTCGACATAGACGAGGATATCGAGGGCTTACTGGGATTTGATTTCCTGAAAGCGCAGAAATGTGTTCTTGATGTAGGAAACTGTCAGTTTCAATTGAATGGACATACAGTGAAGTGTTCGACATTCTCATGCAATTACATTCGATGTTGTAGAGTTGTACTAGAGGACACAAGCGTTGTTCCGGCTGGAACTGGAATGCTGTTGCAGGGTAAAGTTTTGGATGTCGATTCTGTACCTAAGAGTGACTTTGCAGCTGGGCTCGTCGTTCCGACAGAGAACTTTACTGAAAAGTACAAATTGATCGTAGGAAAAGCTTTAGTTGATCCGTCGAAGGAAAAAGTTCCTATACGGGTGTTCAATGTGTCAGATCAATCAATCAAAGTTTATCAGAAAACGTTGGTTGGACACTGTGAAGCTGTTACGATAGATCCGAATGAGGAGACCGATTTTGCTCAGAATGACAAATTTCCAGAATATTTATCGACTCTTCTCTCTGAATCGTGTGTAAATTTAGATGGAAATCAATCTGAAATCCTTAAACAGTTTTTGACTAAAAACAAGGATGTATTTGCAGCTGATAAACACGCACTAGGCCGCACAGGAGTGATCAAACACAAAATAGACACTCAGGATGCTACGCCTATTAAACAACAACCCCGAAGAATGCCATTTGCCAAGAGATCCGAGGTGTCGTCACAGATTGAAACAATGTTAACTCAGGATGTTATTGAAAAATCAAGTA